CAGTAGTAATTACGATCCTGCTGCCACAAACGCCACAACGACTTCCCCTTCCGCCATTAGAAGAGTTCTTGGCGGATACCAAAATGAGGTTCACAAGCATCCTGAAGCTTATCGCCTTTATCCCCTATAAATAGCCTACGAATCTGTAAATTTGGACGAAAAAGGTATCCCATAAGATGGGCAAAGATCTCAAAGTCTCATTCACGCCGGCTTAATCGTTCGATCCTCTTCAAAGCACGCACGATACGTAAGAGGATATCAATATTTGCATTGGTTCAAATCCATAGACGGGTCCGATGGCTTTGAAAATCCTATTCAGTCGCTGTCCAGTTTTCCTTGAATTAATTGTTTTTCTATTGACAAGAAAAACTGCTGTATTGACAATACAGCTTATGATCCAGTCATTCATGTTTCCTGAGACATCAAGAACATCCCAATATAGTCGGAGACTATGGCTGTGTTTGCCAAGGAGAATCATGGGTTGAAACAGAATGAATGGGACCAATCAGCCAAATTTTTCGAATTCCTCCAGACATTCTTAGCTATAATAACTCGTCAAAAGAGTGATGGCTCTCGTTGTGGTCTGGACACAAAGCCCAAAGTTACCCCTGGATGGCCTCAGATCTCATTGGGATTCATATTTTGATCACTCCGTTCCTTAGCTGAATAAGTATCTATGCAACAATAACAAATAAACAATAATGAATAATAAAATTTGAAAAAAATCTTACTGATGCGCATCACTTTATCATATCATACAATAGAAAAGTGACTGAGAAGAAATGATACTTCATAATTTAAAAAAATAATTAGATTTTAGGAGCCCGAACAGCTATTCCATGGAACGGTCAAAGTCTTCCGACGTCATTCAGCTTCGAGACGCTGTCCAATTCACCAACTGCAACTCAACTAAAGCTGCATTCATACAGATCTCCACCAGTAGCCTCCTCTTACCACCAACCATACAATTTTGATTTTTCTCATCTTTTTGCGAATCCCTCCTCAGCCGCCACAGCCACTGCGTCGGCGTACGCCACGAATGCGGCACAGTTCGCACAGCAATTTGTTGCCACTGCACCGCCAGTGAACGCTCAGGTAAGCCACACTGCTAGAGGCGGAATGTTTTGCTTTAATTTTCTGACTTATTTTTTTTATTATTCGTCGAGTTTCGAACGGAATTGGCAACAACAGTTTACTTTGTCGTGTGAGTCGGGCAGCCCGGTGAAAAACTTTGAAGGCAGATAAATACGACATTCCGACTGGTTGACCCATGAGCTACTGTGTCCTGATTTATCGAAAGGTCTTGCTCGAAATAGACCCATTTTCCACATTTTCTTACTCCCTATTTTCTTACTCATTTAATTCTTCACCTTTTTATCCTGCTTTTCATTTACCTATCTATTTTTCAAATGCCTTTATATTTACTCTTATCGACTGGGTGTCATGCTGTTTTCGATTCGCCTCTCGGCTACTCCCCACTTTCACGCAACCATCGGCTGGCTCATGAGCGGGTGTATAAGTGAAAACCCGACTTCAAAACTTTGTAATATTGCTGGTCGTTGGCAAAGTAGTGGCGCATTTTACAAAAAGCATAATCCTATGTAGACACTCTCTAGTCGACCTGAGAACGAAATGAATTAGGCATGGACTTCAAAAATGTATTAATCACCGATTTTTCCAGGTTGATCAGCAGAACCTCGTCAAATACAGTCAGTATCTGGAGCTTCTACGGAACGCCTATGGAATTCAGCTACCGGGTGAACTCGGACAACAGCCATCAGCCCAGTCTCAGGCTGAGTACCAGTTGTCGGCTTATCCATCAGCTGCAGCAACTTCATATCAAGCCGGTGCTGGACAGCAAGCCGTACAACCCACCTATCAGCTATCCAGTTACTCATCTGCTGCTGCGCCAACCTATCAGACTGGCGCAGCACAACAGTCGGTTCCTTCACAGATCGAGTACCAGTTGTCTGCGTACCCATCGGCTGGTGGTCACTATCAGGCAGCTGCAGCTGGCACCTACAGTTCTGCCCTGCAACCAGTAGATCAGACCGTTCCACTTGCTTCGGTCACCTATGCAACCACCGCTGCAACACCTCAGCCACAGTATCAAGTTTACCAACCGCAAACCGCTTCCTTCTATGGACAAGCTGGACAACCACAGCAACCGCAGTCAGTCTATCAGCCCTCTGCTCAACAAACATATCCGCAACCGGTTCAGGCTCAAACTTATCAGCCACTTCTACCTCATCCCCACCAATCTCAACTTGCAGTTCAACCTTATTATCCGTCACCATATTCTGCCACCCAAGTACCTCCAAACTCTCAGGAACACATCGTTCCATCACAACAACCACATTATCCCCAACAGCAGACGATACAGTATCCAGGACAGCAGGTCTCATCCGGAACTCCTCAGTACTCTGTGCAACAGCCACAGCCACAGCAACCAACCGCACAAGTGCAACCACAGCAACCACCTCAGCAAGTGCAAGTGCAGCCACAGAATCAGGTCTCTCATGTTTCCAGCTATGGACAGCAAGTGAGCCTGACGCATTCGTCATTACCTTTACGTGTACTACTTTAAAATAATCGAAAAAGTCTCATAAATTCCAATAAAATGAGGTTTGCAGGGCATTGCACCAACCTATCAAACTGCCGCTCTTACCTATCCACCCTCATACCCTCAGCAAAACGTTCAACCTCAGCAACCCAAGCCTCAGGTTCGTTACCATAGTAGACCTTTTTACGCGTAAATATTTTACTGTAAGAACTTCAACAACTAAAATCTTGCTTACAAAGAGGTTTCCGTGGTTGGTTCTTCTTCACTGATGGGTATAGTTAACTACTAATGAAAAAAATAAAAAAAAATAATTGATTAGAATGAATACTGATATCAAGGGCGAAGGTGTGACTTTTGAACTCATTCGTTGTTGATCTCCGGGTACCAATAGCTAGGCGACTGATCTGATTTTGATAATTTTCGCTTACTCTTACTTCTTTTTTCATACCACGTAGTTAATTGTGAAAAAACCGATGCAGCATTAGCCATTCGAATTCTTAATTAAGCATCAAACACGTCTAGTTCAGCAGATTTCTCGAAACCAAACAACTCTGAAGCCAATATGAGAATAGGAAGTAGATGCAGTAGAAATATAGGAACAGGTCATCAAATTTCATAGGAGTAATGAAAGTTCGAAGGGTCCCTTTCACGTATAATTGAAAAATATTGCCGTTAAAAAGGCGTACCTTCAGGCC